CTTGGACATGGAACTAGTCTACCTTGTAGAATACAACAGTAATTTCTCGATTGGTCGACTCGCGATGGTATTACGCTGAAAGATTATGAAAATTGTGTTCTTGCTAATCCTGTGTCACGTCGATCGTGACGCACTTTTCATTTTGCGCTTCCGCTTAATCATATACGATTTCTTACTCGTGTCGCCGGTTTTACTATACAGAATCAAGCAAAAACAAAATAAAATTCTAAAAAAGTCTAATATTATTAGGAGTTTAACACTGCGTCAATAAATAGATAGAATAAACATATTTAAACATCTAAAATTATGAGGATATTTTTAATAAAATTGATTGTTGCGAGAAAAAAAGAGTAAAATCACTTTAAATTTATGTTTAAAACTTTTATTAGTTCCGTTAATTTTAATACTCCGTTAATGAATTTTGTAACTCTATTCCAAAATTTTTATTCTTTAGACATTCAGGACTATAAAATATTCAGTATAATATATATTAATAATACAATATAATATAATAAGAAATATTCTATGTTATATTTTTTTTTCATAGTCGACAGACGCATATTGTAAATAAGAAGAGCGCGCATTTTTTAAGGAGACCCCAATGTTTTTCGATTGAACAGTACGAAAGAGTGGCGGGCGTGGAGAAGGGAAAAAAGGGCGTAGTAAGTCATACGAAGAGGCTCGTACGTCATACTTCATCCGGGCCAACAAAGCAACACATAGAAAGGGCTCTCCCTATACACGAAGAAAGCACTCACTTGGGCTGTCTCTTTAGGTCGAGTCGCCATAGTGTGAGTATCTACGTGTGCCTGAATTTTCGTATACCTCTATACATGGAGGAGACCCGATCGCTTGATTACCTGTATGCAACATGCACATCTAATTCGACGCATATCCGTCACACGATTGATCTTTTTAATACGCAAAAATTGATTTCAAGGAATGCACTGATATGTATAATAAATAATTAACGCCATTTTTATTATATTTTTTCATCATATTCTCAATTTTTTAATTTTTATTTCGCAAAAGAATTCGATAATGAAACATTACAAAATAAGATATTTTAATAATAGTAAATGTAACAACCCTCATAATAATAACAAGAATAAATTATATATACGTTTGTATTATTTTATTAATGAACATATTTATTTTATAGATGATGACGTGATATTAGCAAATCGAGCGAAGAAAATTTTGTATTTGTCTAAAACAGAATTTTGGTGTGTTTCTGTTTGTAAAAGAGGATTCTTACGACTCATGAAGATTGGAGCTGATCTTTGCCGATACGAGAGTAGAGCGCAGTATTACCGACAAGTATCGTAAACGGCCATAGCAGCAAGCGTGGGGGTTCTTGAGAAGGAGGGATAAACGAGCCGAGCCACGATTTCGTTGTCGTAAACGTCAAAGTTACGGTTACAGCGTTGTTCCTAGCTGCTTTATATTGAACGAGGTTGCTCCCCGAGGTACGTAACACCTACCTACTCGCAATCGTCGTATTGCAGAAAGTAGCATTATACTCCTTTCCAACTCGGAAGCGACGAAGAGACCACGTGACTTTTACGCGGGAATCTGCCCGTAGGAATTTGATCCTACAGCGCGCTAACTAATGTTACTTTTCTTTTTGCAATTCATATAGCTTTTTATAATTACAGAGCTATTTTTTCAAATAAATTAATACAGATTCGTTATCATCTTGTGATTCTTGATTTCTCTTTTTAATAAAGATTATTGAATTTATTATTTATTACTGCAAAACGTATAACTATAAATAACATTATATTTTCTAATATTAAATACATGGAAAATATAAAATGTATACTTTGAAAACAGAAAAACATTAATGGTACACCTATCTAATATATTCATCTTGATTAATTCTGTATTATGTTATCATGCAGTCCTTAATGTAGCTTTAAAAAGGATCATTTTTTAGATTTGCATGCCGTAAAAGAAATTCGCTCTCAATAGGCTTGAATGAAGAGATGCCTAAGTAGCACCCCAACTTCTATCGTCGCGCCCTCTAATTACCCTGTAGACGCAGTCACCCCTCAATGAGAAGTGATAAATATTGTTCGCGTTTGGGTATATCTCGAGAAAGTGAATCAGCTCTATAAAGAAAGATATATTTCTTATCGCTACTGGTAAGTACTGCAGATTATTTACTGATAAAGAAATATATTGCTTTCAATTTATTAAGGAAGCTATTGTTAGCATAAAATGTAAGAAATAAATAATTTCAATATTATACAAAGCTAAACAAAGAACTCAAAATTCAAAAGTACATACTAAAATAATATCTTTTTACATATTATCCACAATAAATAAATAAAATCAAATCATCTAAATTAGAAATTACTTTTATCTTTAATTAAATCAATTTTATATTCGATATTGATTAACATTTTTAATTTAAATTAATAAATACGTGATTTTCATATTTTGAACTTTTTCTCATCATATATATTTATTACACAAAATAGAAATAAATAGATAAACAGAAATAGATAATTATAACACATCAATTTTATCGCATGCGTGTGCTAAAAAAATATAGATTTTCAGCAATTTACATAAGCATGAGCATTAACAAAATAAAGAAATCCATTCGGCTAACAGAAATTATATTTTTCATAAAAAATAAAAATAGTATAGTGTAAACAAATCGTATCGTAAACTTTTTTTTGTAATATCAAATAGCATGAATGCTATGTTTACCACTTTCATATTTAGAATGAAATTATGAATTGGACATATAATCGATCCCCACAATCGTTTATCACATACTTACGATACACAAAGGTATATTTAGAAGCGCGATAAATTAAACGACAGATGCAGTATTTCATACAAGCGTGCATTCAAGCTATAATTATCTTTACCGATAAGTATTCAGAGAATAAATAGATACAATAGGCATAAATGTGATATATATTTACATCAATTTTTAACACTTTGTAATATCCGAGATAAAGATTTAAATATGGCAATACTTACAATGCCTATTATTATTATAATAGCATCGTACAATGTAATTTATATTAATTTAATTCAAATACAGTTACATCTTATTATATGTATTTAAAAAAATTTTTACATTAATTAAAAATTTTGTAAAATGCAAAACGCAAAACTTTACTGTCAATATAATGATATCAGAAATTGCACGCATTTCAGCATTTATCATCTCATCTAAATATGATTAAAATACATATCACAAAAGCTATAACATGTAAATTAATTTTCTACCGATGCTATAAATCAGAATCATTCATCGTATTTGATAATAAATGATTGCCGATAGACATTGATAGCTCTATATTTAACTGCAAATCTATGACAAATTAATCCATAATCCTGTACCGATAAATTTTCCTACTGCATTCGTTGTACCAACAACACTGAAACGCACTTGTTAGAGAGTACGAAATGAGTCAACGACTTTCAATCCGCAAATACATAGAACCTGTTATACGAGTATGCGGCTGATCAAATGCTTTTTTTCATTCCTATGATTCCTATGAACACTGCGTTTCATGTATCATCGAAGCAATTTACAATCTATAATCAATGAT